GTGTGTGGACATACATAAACATTGGTATGTATCTGTGCATGTGTGTTTGTGTGATTTCATTTGAACCTCACATTATCCCTGTGAATTGAATATTATCTCTATGTTATAGATGAGCAAACTGAGTCTCAGAGAGGTTGATTGAATTGTCCATAGTCACAAGGCTAATATTACAAGGGTAAGAGATTCAAACCTGGGTCCTTCTGACTCTAAAGTCAACACATTCTCCAAATCAAAATATTACATAGAAAAATTGCAAAGTTACTCTCTATGCTCAATTTTTCCTTCCTATCTCTACCTGTCTTAAATGTCATTCTTGAGAAACCCTTACAGGGCTTTAAAAAACCATCCATTAATTTATCTTTTTAAAATTTTTGTCTTTGGAAAGTTTGGCTCTTTGGAGAAAACTCAATCCTAGCCTCAGGCCCCCCTACATGATCCCTAGAGAAGAAAAGTAATCAATGCAGAGTAGTTCAAGCCAATGAGAGGTCACAGTTCTCCAGGGCCATGTTGGAGAAGAGCTGGGAATGTGTGGGATCATTGTAAAAGCCATGTGGCAGGGTCCTGTTTCCAAACCCAGCTGGGAAAATCTCCTTAACCAAACACCCAGCATACTTACAGCGCAAGAGGCATCCATGCTCAGTCAGATGTCAGGACCAGAGCCAATTCCCTATCCTGTGAATTTCCATAGAATGATAGAACATGAGTTAGAATTACATGATGACATGAAATGAGAATTGCTCGGTAAGAAATAAGGCTCATCAGAATCCCCGCTCGGAGAAAAGGGTTCTAGTTTATTGTTAGGAGTTGTCTTTGAGCCCATTTGTGAAGCCAATTAAATACAGGGAAGCACACCAGCAAGACGATCTCTCTGCTGACAAGGACCTAGAGATGCTATCAGACTGTCTCCCTGGACTCTGGGTGGTTTGGGCCTTAAGCATGCCAGAAAAGTAACAGAATAACTTTATACAAGTCCTAGAGAAGTATGATCCGTTATCATTCTTTTTGAGTGTTCCAACAACTAGCAATTTTTGTACTTAGGAAATTCTTTGAAAAACCCTTTTTGGAATAGAGAGACAGTGTGGTGCAATGTGTAGAGAACTAATCAGAGTCAAGAAGAGCTATGTTTACATCCCGCTTTAGATATTTACTAGCTGTTTGACCTAGGGCAAGTTAATTAACCTCTCTGAGCCCCTGTTTCCTCATCAGTAAAATAAGGATAATACAAGCACCTCTTCAAGAGTTGTTGTGGTGGTTAAGTGATAAAATATTGGTGAAGGGCTTTGGATATCAGCAAAAGCATAGAGGAATGAAAGGCACTATCACTATGGTAGTTTAGGCATAAGACCTCTTTTTCTCTCTGAAAAAGAGGGTCTCTTTGTCATGCACACAATTATTTCTGCCAGCTTTTAAAAATGGGTGCAACTATGAATCTTTCCTCTGACTCCATGTTTCCAAACCTTCTGTCTCTCACTTTGCATCTGTTCAGTCATTGGTATGGCTGTCCTTTGCATCCTCTCCAATTTCACTCCATCCTGCTCCATTTGTGGCCCCCAAAGGGGGCACAAGCCTTGGATGATAGGCTGACCCTCCCTACTCACCACATCTGGGTCCTTCCTACTATGCTCAATTGCAAGTATTCAGAGTCATTCTTGCTATTTCAATGGCTGGACTATATTTCTGATTCCTATTTAAATTATGATGGACTACAACACTCGGAATGTTTCTTCCACATTCACCCAAAGACATTCCTCCCCTGTCTTGGATTTCTGGAAATTATTTTCCTGCCCAATTGAATTACCCTTCACTTGTCCCTATTATACTCAACCTATTTACATCCTACCACTTCCCTGACTTGTCAAAAGTATTTTGGATCTCTGTCCTTCTCCACCCACCCGTGGAGGTGTCATCATCACCAATGGATGTTTCAATCCATCATCTAAGTCATGAACGGTAATGTTCTAATGTGAGTTGGGGTTCTGAAGAACTTGACTAAATAGGCATCCCAATGTTGACACAGAACTAGATGAAAGGCAAATCCAGACAAATGGCTGACATGGGCCCTAGAATTTGGGAGAGCATAATCCAAAGAATTTAGAGCAGGAATAAGAAAGAGCTCATGGCCAAAACTTCTACCAAAGCAGTCAGCCCAAGAAGGAAGGTGTACTTTCAAGAAGGAAATGTCGACGACAAGTAGAACAGACTCCAATGAAGAATAAAGGCTACCATTGTCTAAATCACCATAGACTAACTCCAATGTTTAAAAGAGGCATATACAAGAAAATGAAGGTGGAAGCTAGGACAGGTAACTGAGAATGAAAAGAAAGGGAGGGGCAGGATGGTAACAATTGTGGGAAAGAAGGCTGAGCTACTAATTTTTTTTGTGTGTGTGTGTGTGCTGGTTCTGTTTTATCTCCCAAAGGAAATTGTTGGGTTTACTAGGATAAAAAGTAACAGAGTTGAAATCCAAGGTGAGCAATGGTAAGGATGTGTTTTTATAGCCTCAACAATTCAAGTCAACAGGCTTGAATAAACTACATTGCAGGATATTTACTGAAAGGGCTGGTAAGTGTGATTGCTGAGCTGCAGTCAACAATCTTGGAAAACTGTTGACCAGTAGAGATGCTGCAGAACTAGAGACAAATGTATTGTCCTGATGGATTGTGAGAAAAGTGAGAAGAGTGGATTCTTCAAAGTCTAGGTTACTGAGCTTTATTTGAACTGCTGGAAATATTAAAGAATACATTATTAAGGGGATGATGTAGCAATATTTAGAAAAAGTAGTTGTGGTCAATAATAGCAAGGGTTCATTAAGAATAAGTCATTTCAGATTCCCTTCATTTTCTTTTTAAATAGAGTAACTGGATAAGGAAAAAAAGTATACCTGGAATTTAGCAAGTCATGTGACAATATTTCTCATGACATCTTTGTGAACTAGATGAGGAGATTTAGGCATGATGGTAATATAGATTAAATGGCTGGACATATACAGCATCAGTGATTCAATGTCAGCCTGGAATGAGATTCCTAGGGAGGCCACCATGTCTCTGTCTTTTTCCCTGTGCTATTGAACATATTTATCATTGATCAGATGAAAGCATATATAACATGCTTATAAAATTTTCAGGTGGCCTGAAATTGTAAGGGCAAGTCAAGCTCAAAAATGTTCTCAACGCGTTAGTATTATGAGCTAAGCAGACAGAAAAGGAATTGAATAGAAATGAATGTAAAGTTTTATATGTGAGTTCAAAACATCAACTTCACAAAATAGATAGGAGTTGTCTATAATGCAACTTGATATAAAAAATCAACAACCTGGGAGTTTAGAGGACTGCAAGCTCAAAATAACCCAGAAATATGTCACAGCAAGCATAAAACATATGATCTTGGATTTTATTAATAATGCCATAGAGTTTAGATGAAGGGAGACAATGTTTCTACTGTACCTTAGCCAGAAAACATCTACAATTTTATGTTCAGTTCTGGGTAATGTCACATCTCAGGAAGAACACTGGTAAACTAGCATATGCCCAGATAAAGACAACAAGGATGATAAGAGAATAGAAAACCATGCCAGTCACACAGCTATTAGAACAACTGAATATGGTTAACCTCCAAGAGAGCCAACTTAGAGGAGACATAATCATTTCTTTCTAGTATCACAAGGGTTGCCAAATGAAAGAGGAATTAGATTTATTCTGTTTGGCCATGGGCTTGGGGTTGGGTGAAGGAGAACCAGGACCAAATGACTGGAAGTCAAAACAAGGAAGATTTCTGCTCAACAAAAGAAAAAAAAGAATCCTTAGTTAGAATGTCCTCATGTCAAAAGGACTGCCTCAGGAGTCAGAAGGAGCCCCTTCTGGGGTGGCCTTCAAATGGCAGATGGATGACCACCTGTTGTGAATACTTTAACATGAATTCCTGCTCAGTTTCTCGCTGGACTGAATGGACTTGGAGATTTTTTTCCAACTCTGAAGTTCTATGTTCTGCTAATAATCACATATCTCTATTGGCAAACAGACTGAAAGAGCAGAAATCCTATTGCCTCAGGTTCATAGTGAAGATCTAACTTTGGAACAAAGAAAAATCTGAAGATCTTCTACATTTAATAATACTCCTTTCTCCTCACTATCTCATTGTTTTCATTGTACGGTATTGTTGTATTACATTGTATTTTTCCTGGAGTGGTGATTTTATCAGCAGAGAGAACCCATGGTAAGGAAGTATATCCATTAATACAAAGAGACATCTATCCTGTACTTCATTCCTTAGAAAGTTGAGTCTTTCATTGCATTTCTTTGATTCTCCATCTTTTTTTTACCCAACCTAAAATTTTGCACAGGGAAAAGAAAACTAGTAAAAAGTCAACATGACAAGTAAAACACTCATTAAGCAGCATAAGCAAATAGGATGAGCATGACATAGAATCAATTAACTTATTGCTCTCTTTAACATCTATGTTCTAATTCCCCAACTGGAGGTCCAGCAGTCTTGAGGACGTCTATGAGATGATAGTTTATTTTTCACGTGGAATTATTTCCTGACATCTACTCCATTGAAGGCTGGTAGATACTTTTGTCTTCCATTGTTTTTTGGTTTTTTTTAAAGAGAGAAATGAAGTCCTGTTCTTTATCATACTATGATGAAAAATCCAATGGCATATTTTCCAATGTACTTTTTTTTTTATTTCTATGAAGTAAAACCAACCTAAACCTATAGGATTCATGGGATCATAGAAAAATATTGAAATATGCTTTAATTGTTTTGGGCTGTCTTCATTTACTTGATGTATATGTTTTATCCAATGAGATATGAATTTATGCAGGAATCAAAGCAAAATGAAGCAGGTTCATCCCAGAAGAAAAGCTTAGTTTGACAGGCACTGGGTTAGTGTGCTTCAGACTAGAAAAGAAGGATTTTTCTAACTGCTTAACAATTGGCATGAGGTTTTCACATATTCTTAGGAAATAACAGAAAATCCATTATTTTAAAAGGATCATTTATTAAACTTTTTTTTTTTACAAATTACAATCATGTTTTCTGTTAAGGCTTTGGTGTTCTATATGTACACATATATATGAAACAACAATGTGTAGGTTTATTAAGATGAACTTAAGCTGGAGACAGTTTCTGAACTACCAACTACCAATTTTGCTTTACAATGTATCTCTTGCTATTCAATGCCATATGAAAAAAACAACAACAAAAACAAAAACCTTCCTTCTGGTGAAATGACTTATTCCCATTGTAGAAGCAATACTTGATATTTTCTAATATTTTATAGAGATGACTTTGGGCAATAGTTGGCATACAAACTTCTGAAAGATGACTAATTTTTATGATCCTAAAAAAAAACACATTTTTCAAGCTATAAGATAGGAAGAGTTGAAGAGCTAGGTAAGGTCTATAATACCCTATTAGCAGCAGTCGATAGTAAATGCAACAGAAGATTTGTTTTGTCTGTGGTACAAAGAAGGGTGTGTTCCATCCGTCTCTTCTATTCCATCTTCCTCTACTGGAAGGAACACAAGTTAGCATGTATGCTTTGTCTTTGAAACGAGAAAACAGAAGGGAGACAAGATGAAGATTGTCATTAGGAAATGTCTATTGCCATAAGCTAATATGAATGCTTTGCAAAAGTTAGTGAAGACAGGAAAATGCCATAAGGTAAATATATACAGAGTTAAAATACATTTCTTATCCAATAAACAGTGATTTGGGGCCCTGGGACTGTTCAAGATAAAATGTCTCCTATTTTGCTCTCCATAGCAATTTATTTTTCAGTGCAAGCTAAGCAAACAAAGACCTGCCCATTGTCCAAGGCATGGCCAACGAGTGCGGAATGTTCCAAGCAAGTCCATCTTCAGCATCATCACCATGGAGGCCCCTCGGAGAAGTGGCACTTAGCCCTCTACAGCTCAAGAGGGACAAGCAGGAGAAGGCTGGCTGTCAGAAAGCCAATGCTCACTGCCACTGTCTTCTCCCTCTGTAAACCACGTCTGGGTAAGTAAGGCTCGCCATGCTAGCGTTTCTTTCCTGAGAACGGCGCTCGCTCGGCGCATCCCGCGCTCGGTATCATAAGTGAGCGTGCTCGGAGCTGTGGTCGCTATCATGGCTGTCATCGTTGGCTAACGAGTCCCCTGTGTGCTGGAGGCCAGTGGCCCCAATGCCAGAGAGCTCTGAAGGCAGCAGGGTCCCCTTTTTCACATTCACCAGTTCCTTTTCTCGGGCAGCTGCCCCTTGCTGGCCTCCTTTTACCCGCTTCCATTTCATCCTCCTGTTTTGGAACCAGACTTTCACCTTGAAAAGCAAACAGAAGAAAAAGAGAGTGGGGAGAAAGGAAAAAAAAAGTTAAGTCCAAAATTTACATTCTGATGTCAAAGGGGGGGTGATGTTGTATATACCACTATAAATTTAAAATAAATACAACACATGAAAATTTAAGATATTTCCATTACACACACACACACACACACACACACACACACCTAGAAGACAGAAAGCTTAGGTACCTCTTATTAGCTATGTCTGTGGGAGAAGGAGGAATGAATTCATCCCCAAACAACGTTCATCGAATGTGAATTCATTCATGGAATGGGAACTCATGAATTTTGTAAGCAAAAGATAAAATATATCATTTCAATTCCATCATATCAAAAAGCTTTTTCATGAGCAAAAGTAATTAAGCTAGAATAAGAAAAGAAGTGATTGACTGGGGCCGGGGTAGGGGTGGGGTGGCAGTGGGTGGGGGGCTTTCCATCAAATATCTCTGGAAATATATCTGATACTTAGGATACAGAGACAACTAACCAGAATGTACAAGACCAAAATTTATTCTCTAATAGATATGTGGTCAAAGGATATAAACAGTTCACCAAAAAACTGTGAACTGTTAACAGCCACATGAAAGAATGTTCTACCTTACATCCTGCAAATTGACAAACATTTCAAGAGATGGGAATAGTCAATGCTGGGGACGTGCTGGAGAGAAGCAGAGACACTAGAGTACTGCAGGTGCAGCTGTGAAATCATGCAAACATTCTGGAAATCAATTTGGAATTATGTGGAGAAAATGACTAAAAATGTCCATCTCCTCTGACACAGAGATTCCACTGCTAGGCATATGCTCTTGGAAGTCAATGACAAAAAGAAGGGCCCCATGTGCACCAATGATATTTATAGAAACATATTTTATATTATCAAAGAACTGGAAGCAAAGTCAACATCCATTTATGGGGAAATGGCTAAGTTGTGCTGCATGAATTCAATGGAATGCACCCAGATGGCCCAAGGATGAATCTAAGCATCACAGAGGTGAATGAGATGATGTCTAGAAAATACTGGAAAGTGAAGCAAGCAGAATCAGAAAAAAAATGGTATCTGTGATGACTACTGCAAGGGATAGAGAAAAATAAAAATAAAATAGCAAAAACTGAAAAATGAAAATTCATAATGACCTAGGGAAGCCTCAAAGAAGAGGCAAGAGAAAGGACTTCCTCCTGTTTCTTTGGGAAAGGGGGAGGGAGTAACTTGCCTACAACACAGCATATAATGGGAGACTTTTTCATTCTAATTTTTCAGAGCTGCAGGAATTCTCCTCCCCTGCTTTTTTATCTTTTTTCATCAAGGATGGCTATCTGGGAGAGGGAGGGAGAAGAAAAACAATGGATAGTGAAAGTGTTATAAAATATCAATAAATGTTTATGTAAAAAAAATAGAAAGAAAGAAAGAAATGTTGCATCGTGCTCCAATTCTTTAGACCAACCTAAATGCTTTGAGGCTCATGAGGGGATGCCTGGAGAGGCAAGATTCAATGTGTGCAAGGAGGATTGCTGTGTTTTGTTGGATCTGGCATGGGATCCCGATTGTCATTTTAGAGTCCTGCCCAGTGGTTGTAGCCTTTTTGTTCTAGGGCTTCCTCAAATAGCCACTTATTAAATGGGGTACATTGATGTTATAAGTGAATAGTCACAAAACCCACACAACCTCTGCTAAAACAGAGCAGCTTGTATATAACAGACACGGTGCCAAGCACTGGAAACCCAACTACTTCCTTAAACCACATAGAAAAGGAAAAGGAGAACCCATAGAGAGCCCATATAACTGCCTATCCAAATCTTACTGGTCCTCCCAGAACCAACTCATGTCCTACATCCTTCACTACAATTCTACCTATTAATGTTAGTGCCCAGAGAAATCAAGGAAAACCTACCATGGAATCTACCTTGTAATTAATGATATGAAAATAATACAAGAAGTTGTTATTCTACTAAGTTGGAGGCAGACCATACAATAATGACTAGCATTTAATCGGTGATTTAAGGTTTGCAAAGCTTTTTACAAATATTATCTCATTTTATTCTCACAATAATCCTCAGGTGGTGCAATTATTATCACCATTTTATGGATAAGGCAGGCAGAGGTTAAGTGACTTTTCCAGGGTTAACAAATATTTCAGACAGGATTTGAACTTGGGTCTTTCTGATCCAGGTACAACCATCTATCTACTGAGCCCTAGCTTCCTTTTTTATCTCATTATTTCTGACTAATTAAGTGCTTCATTCCTAATTGGTAATTAGTTGTTTCTAAATGTTTTTGCTTCTTAAATTTTCACAACGTATAATCTCCGTGGCCTTAGGATAAAGCCCTGGTCCCCCTCCTAGTTACAGCTTTCTCTATTCACCTTCATTAGGCACTGCTCCTGATTGTGACCTCCTCCAGAGCTATCTTGTATATGTTGTACCATTAGCTAACTCCATGTACCTATCTCCTCAGCCAGACTATAGACTGCCTGAGGGCAGGAATAATTTCTTATAATGTTCTGTATTCTCTACAAGGCTTATAACAGTGCTGCGATTCATACTGCGGATTCAAAGAGAGGCAAACGACAGTCCCTGCCCTCACGGAACTTGCAATCTAACTGGGGGGACTACTTGCAAACAAACACAAGATACACACAGGGCGAATCAGGGAATCAGTAGAGGTAAGGTGCCATGACGAAGGGAGACTCAGAACGGATTCTTGGGAAAGTGAGACTTTAGCCAAAACTTAAAGGTAGTCCAGGAAGCCAGGAGAGAGAGATGAGGAGGGAGAGAATGGCAGCCATGGGGGACAGCCAGAGAAAACACACAGCATCTGTGGGAGGAACAGTCAGGAGGCCAGTGTATCTGGATCCTAGAATACATGGAGGATGCTAACTCGGGATTACATCAGGGTGAGGTTTGTAATACCGTACAGAAGTCATGGGCTGAGGCAGCATCTCGTACTGGAAAACAGCATGGCAGAGGCCTGGGTCCTCCTGCACTCTGGCTGTGCTCCTGCTAAGCCCAGGAAGGTCTCTGAGGGAAAACAACATTTTGCTAAGAGGATAATAGCAAGTTTAGTTTCGTTCTCATTTTGTAACTGGTGAGCCAGTAGAATGTCCTGGGCCCCTGGGATCCTTGGATTATATATTTAGATCCGCAAGGGACCTTAGGAGTTATCTAATCCAACCCCCTTATTTACAGATGAGAAAACTAAGACCTAGACAGATGAACTATCTTACCCACAGTCACAAAGAGGAAAGAGAGGAACAAGAATTCAAACTCAGATCCTGGGACACCAAGTTCAACCAAATTCCCTCTTTGGGGTGCTGTTGACTAAGGTCTACAGAATGTAACGACAGGCCTGGAATCCAGTCCTTCTTCCTGATTCCAAGCTGGTTGTCTGGCCACCATATCACATCTCCTGCCAGTAGTGCCCACCTATATCAGAGAAAGGAGTTTTCATGCCAGGACTTCCCTACCTCAATACAGTTACAGCCCCAAAACAAAACAAAGCCAAATGAAAATGCATTTTAATTTCAAATTTGTGCAGCCACTCCCTGGGTTGTGAGCATGAAAGTTTCCCCACTAGCATGTCAAACTTGTGCATGTGCACTTGGGTCATACCAACTGGGAATTCCACAAAGCGAACAGGCTAAGCAGTATTTTAAGCCCTCCCATCAGTAAACACTAAACAGGCCCAGAGGATGAGTAGTCTGCATTGTCACATGCTTGACTTCAAGCCAGAAAAATCTCCTCAGCCCTGCCCCACCTCATGCACCACAGCCCCTTCCTTGGGGTTACCTTCTGATGCCCTGGTTCATCAGATCACAACACCAAATAACGAACAGACCTTGCCCAGATTCTAACCATACTTCTAATAATGCCAGCACAACAAAACAACTTTTCACTCCACTCAAAAAGGTACAGCAAAACCCCTCGGAAGGAAGCATTTAACCTGGGTTTGTATCATGCACTGAGGCTTAAAAGAAATGCAGGATCTGTATAAAAAGAGAGAGAGAAACTAAGCTCTGAGCTTCCTGCATCCTTAATCTATCACTCAGATAATGGGAAAACTAGATCCAATTTAATTATGTTCTTCAAATGGCGTTTAATGTTGTCTTGGCTTACTTTTTTTTGCTGGAAAAGGGTTTCACTCTTGGCTCTACTTCAGTCTTTCCATGGAAACTTAAGCAAATGTTCCTGTTTCTCAGTGTCCAGTTCCACATTTGTAAGAGAGAGACATCTGGGTTTCCCAGAATCCTCAAGGGGGCATTTTCTACACAGAAACCCCAGAGGGGATGAACACACAAAACCCCGTCCTCACCAACACTCAGGTCGAAAAGCAAATCCTTTCAATTAAGTCAGTGGGATCTTGGCAGGAATGTGTGAGGACTGGACTAGCCAAGCCACAATTTATATTTTTCATTTTTAAAATCTACACTCATTTCCTTTTTTCCCCATATGTGGATTATATCCGTCTGCAAAATAGCCCATCCCATGTTAAAGAAGTAGCTGAGTACAGTGGTGATTTCACAAAAACTATCCCTTCTCATGTGTCGTACTTCCTGGAGGATGGTTTGTCCATTTTCATTAACAGCTTAACGAACTCAAGAAAAAGGCTCTCTCTCTGCCCACAGCTGGTATCCAAAAATACGAGGCTGAAACCCACTGGATGTTTATCTAGTGACTCTAACATGAGAAAGGCCTTTCGAGAAGGATTTCCTCCAGGGATCAGATACAAATATCTGAAAAATGAACTTGCTTTGGAATTTGTAAAGAGTGAATAATGGGGAAGGAAAAAAAGAGGTGTGGAAATTTGAGCCGGGCATGTGCGAGAAACAGGGAGGAAATGGGAAGACTTGTGAATTCCAACTTCATTTCAATTAATGGCTTGTATTGTCCTTTCTGAATTGGATCAGGAAGGCACAGATTTGAGAACCTTTGTTAAAACACGGTGGTAAGAAAGGAGAAAATTTGGAACCCAAAGTTTTAAAA